CCCAGGCGGGTCTTGAACCCACGGGCTCAGGCAATCCACTCACCTCAGCCTCCCAAAGCACGGGATTACAGGTTGAGCCACTGAGCCTGGCCCAGATATGTCTTTCTTAACACACAGGTCTCTCTGTGCACACACAGTAAGATATAGTTGTTTCTCCACTGAGGAGTGTTTAGGGTATTTCTGGGTTTTGCTCTTACAGAGCAAACCCAGGAGTTTCTCCAGGAGAAGCTGGTACCTGGGACTGCCACTGTGCCCCTCTGCACTTCAAGACACCAGTATTGCTGGGTGGGGAGTACACCTGCGAGTTCTAACACTTCCCTGTGGGGGCCACCACCTGCCCACACTGGCCTCTCTCCATGCTGGGGACAGCACAGTGTGATGCCACAGAAGCCTGGCTCCTGCCTGGTGGCCTCTGTGTTGAAAGGCTCAGATTTAGCACATCTCTGCTAAGACACAGGCCCTGGTAGCCCTGATCCAGTGGCACAGCTGGGGCCATACCCCTGGATACCTGCCCTCTGGTCCTCTGGGTGGGCCTTTCCCAGGCACGAGGGCCCACCTCCCAGCTGCCCCCCATTCATTGGAACTGACTGTCTGTCAGGTTCCCCGAGTCTTAGAGGCCAGACCCAGGAATTCAGGGAGGCTGCCCAGATGGCCTCTAACGCCCGATTTTCCCTTAAAAAGGCATTTGCTTCTTGCTCCCGGATGAAGAATACTGAGTCACCCTCGGTTGTTTTGGAGCTGCCACCCAGAACAATCGCCTCTCGGCCAGAAGGGTGAGCCCTCTGAGATTTCCTGTCCAGTGGCTGCCAGGTTCTTGGGCTAGGAAGTGTGACATGACTCAGAGGCTTTTTAGAGCAGAAAATGGGCAGGATGGCCCAAACAACCGCTCTCCCTGGTGGGCTTTGCAGATGCCCAAGACCGGGCCAGAAGCCTGAAGAAGCAACTCCCTGTAGCGCATGCCGCCCTTGTCTTAGGGCCAATGGAATGATGTCCACGGGGTGGGACGTGTCCGCCATGCTGTGGAGGTGTCAGGAGGCCCTGCTATCGCCTATCCCGGGAGGGCAGGTGCATTTAAGAACGATAAGCTGGTGTGGTCACCATGTCTCCCTTCTGCTCACCCTGACTCTGGGCACTTGGCAACATGCTCAGACCCAGGGCCTATCCTTTGGGTGGCTCACCTGATTCAGAAAGCTTCAGCTCACAATCCATGTAATCAAACATCTCCACGGTGAGCTGGAAGCTACAGAAGAGGGGGGGTGAGAAAGAGTGGGGGGCCCGTTCCGAGACCCCGGGTGGAGACAGGGACACAGCCGATATTGCAGCCCTGAGAAGTGAGTGCACCTCTGCACAAAAAGACAGTCTTTCAGATAAACCCTAGCCCGCCCACTTCACTTCTCCCTTGGGAGCATGAGCTTTACCTGAGAAGTCCATGGCCTCATGCGACACCCACTGCCCCGTGTGGGAGCCTGGCGTGAAACAAGGTGGGCACGAGCAGGGAAGCTGAGGGGAAGGGGGAAGGGACCCTGGGCCAGGCAGAGCGACTCACATGTTGTTGACATCAGTCCCAGCTGCCTTCTCCAATACCTCATCCGTCACCTCCAGGCCCGCAGGAAATTGGGGGTGCTGCAGACAGAACCTCACTCAGCTGTAGCCGTGCCAAGCAATCCCCACAATGGGCTCTGTCTCCTGCTCTTGGCAGACCCAGGTTCTGACCCATGTAAGTGGACAGAAGGGGGAAAGGGGGGCTGGGAAGAGGGGGGCACCCAGGTAGGATAGAGGAGGTGATGGGAGCCCAGGGCAGTGGGGAGGCCGCCCCACGTCTGCGAAAACACCTGAGGTGTTCTAGGAGCTTCTTGACGTCCTGGCCCCAATCTTCCCTCTGGCCATGCTCAGAACAAGGTGAGTGGGCTCATGAATAGCACAAGTCCCCCTCTCCGTGTCCCCACATGTCCCAGGACATCACAGAAGGAAAAGCCCGTGGGTCCCTTAGCCCGCCTCCTCCGGGGAAGCCACCTTGAGGTGAAAGGAGATCTTGGTCAGCAACAGCTTGGTGTAGACATTCACCAGCTGCCCGTACCGGTCATGCAAATGCCCCTGTGGGGAAGAAAGCCCAGGGTAAGGGCCCGCAGCCTATGAACACACCCGAGAATCCTAAAGGACCTGGGCACAAGAAGCCGAGTGCCATCCTTTCACACACACCAGTCGCTGCTTCACTTGACAAATGTCTCCTTGTGGCCTCCATCAACCTCCTTCTTTGGCTCTAGTTTTTCTCCCTTAATCTTCCTCCCCATCATTCTTGCCAAAGAAGCTCTTGTGAGAAGAGAGCTCCCTGTCCAGGGCAACGGGCCAATTCTGAGTAGGGACACTTTATTAAAGTGCTGGAGCGACGGGGAGGCATAGCCCAACGGATGCCTGTGCACATCCTCCCACTCCCTCCTCCACCACCACGTCCCTTGCAGCATGCCAGCTGGGCCTGCATCTGCAGATTGCACCATGGACACTGTTCTCCTCTCTTGAAGGGCCACAGGACAGTACATGGATATGGGCTGGGCATCGCCCCAGTCAGGCCTCCTGGCCTTCTGGTGGGTCCTATTCCAGTGCCCACCCTGCTCATCCATCACCCTACAGTGCCCAAGAGTCAGAACAAGGCCCTCCTTCCCCCAGGGGCACCTCTGGCCCCTGCCATCTCCGGCTCCCAGGGCTCCCAGGGTTTAGTATGTCTAAACCATCTTCAGCAAATGTGCTGAAGACACACGTTGCCAGTCTCAATTCTAAGGCAGACAGTCTGGGGGAGCCTGTGGCCCTGCCCAGTCTCCCTAACCACCAAGACACCCAGGTTCTGGCTCCAGTGTAACCTTGTGTCCAACTTGCAAGGACTAAAGGCCCCACCGGTTACGCTGTGCAGGCCTTAGAGTAAGGCTGCAATGTCTCATGCGCTAACGCTTATCTCTCTCGTTGTCGCCCAAATGCCACTACCCTGATTCTGCTCTGGAAGAAGAAAGGAAACCCAGCTTCCCTCAGGAGCTACTGTTCACTCAGCCCTGTGTGTCAGGAGGCCCCAAGAATAGGCGGGGTCCGGGCTGGACTCAAGGCACCATGGCTCCCGGCACCTACCCAAAGGTCCCCGATCTCCCGGATGTTGCTGCGATACCGCTGGCAGTCGTGCAGCACCTGCAGTGGGGAGAGCAATGAAGGACCCAGAGCCTGAAGGAGGGGTCCTGACACACTCACTCCCCACCCTGGGTGGGAGGGAGAAGGTGGAGGGCAGGGCAGGCCAGCCCAGATCTTTGGGGATAAACACTGGGACAGAACTGTGCATGTCTCCAGGTCGCTGCCCGCCTCCCTGGCCTCTCCGGGAACAGATGGCAGCAGCTGCTACTCACGTTGGGGTGCCCATCTCGAAGGACCTTGTGGAGGACGTGGCAGAACTTCCAGCTGAGGATGGAGCTACTGGGCAGGGGCAGCCCGATGGCATAGGACCAGAAGGTGAAAGCCCCCTTCTCATGGTGGGTGCCCAGAATGATGCCTACAAGGTCAAGGCCAAGTGCAGAAAGCAGAAACTCGAGTGTGGGGAGGTCGGGCCCTCAGCCGATGCAGCAGGGTGAGGCCAGAGCTGCACAAGGAGAGCCAGCCCCAGGTCACACTCCTGTCAACCCCAGGTCACCAGAGCTCCCATTTGCCAAAGGGCTAGGTATTAGGGTAAGACAAAAGACAAGGTTATGTCCTGTGGTTTTTTGCTTGTTTTTTTTTTTTTTTTTTTTTGAGTTGGAATCTCACTCTGTCATTCAGACTGGAGTGCAGTGGCCGCTCCCGGCGACCGCAGCCTCGACCTGCTGGGCTCCAGCGATCCTTCCGCCTCAGCCTTCCAAGTAGCTGGAACTACAGGCATGCGCTACCATGCCCAACTAATTTTTTTTGATTTATTGTAGAGATGAGGTCTCGCTAAGTTGCCCAGGCAGGTCTCGAACCTGCGGGCTCAGGCAATCCACTTACTTCAGCCTCCCAAAGGCACGGGATTACAGGCTGAGCCACTGGGCCGGCTTGTTTGTTTTTTTTTTGTTTGTTTGTTTTTGAGTTGGAGTCTCACTCTGTTGCCCAGACTGGAGTGCAGTGGCCGCTCCCGGCCACCGCAGCCTCGACCTGCTGGGCTCTGGCGATCCTTCCGCCTCAGCCTTCCAAGTAGTTGGAACTACAGGCGTGCACTACCACACTCAGTTTTTTTTTTTATTTATTGTAGAGATGAGGTCTCGCTGCCCAGGCGGGTCTCGAACCCGCAGGCTCAGGCAATCCACTCACCTCAGCCTCCCAAAGGCGCGGGATTGCAGGCTGAGCTACCGAGCCCGGCTTGTTTGTTTTTTAAATAGAGTCTGGGTATTGCTCTGTTGCCCAGGCTGGAGCACAGTTCCAGCACTCCAGTGAGCAATCATAGCTCATTGCAGCCTTGACCTCCTGGGCTCAAGTGATCCTCCCATCTCAGACTCCGAAGTAGATGGGACTATAGGCATAAGTTACCACACTTGTCTTATTTCTATAATTTTTTGTAGAGATGGGATCTTGCTATGTTGCCTAGGCTGGCCTCAAACTCCTGGCCTCAAGCGATCCTCGTACCTCAGCTTCCCAAAGTACTGGCGTTACAGGCATCAGCCCCTGTGCCTGGCCTGGCCTGCCCTGTGTCTTTTTATTTTTATTTATTTATTTAGTTAGTTAGCTGGAGTCTCACTCTGTCGCCCAGGCTGGAGTGTAGTGGCACACTCACAGCCACCGCAGCTTCGACCTGCTGGGCTCAGGTGATCCTTCCACTTCAGCCTTCCAAGTAGCTGGAACTACAGACAAGTGCCACCATGCCTGGATAATTTTTTTTTTTTAATTTATTGTAGAAATGAGATCTCGCCAAGTTGCCCAGGCTGATCTTGAACCCATAGGCTCAGGCAATCCTCTCACCTCGGCCTTCCAAAGTGCTGAGATTATAGACGTGAGCCACCACACCGGGCCTGCCCTGTGACTTTAACTGGGCCCAATAGTGACATTTTCATAAGACAAAGAGCCGAGAAGGAGGTGAGCCCTGTGGGGCCCAGTGGAGACAGGGTGCATGAAGCCCCTCCTCATCCAGCTCCGTGAGCATCATCAGGCCGCCTGAAGTGCCGCACTGCTCCCTGACTCCCACCTCCTGGGCACCGGAGCCAGCAGGAAGGATACGCCGGGCATGCTTCTCCTTCACGGGGGCCTCCTGGCTGTTGATGGCTTTGCTGATGCTGATGGCCTGCGAGGGACAAAGAAGCAGAGATCAGAAGCTCCCCAGGCAGCCTTCCCGGGAGAGACCGCCCTAGAGGAAAGGCGCAACACAGGACAGGATTGTCTGCTGTTTGGGCAAGTGTAGCAATGGTGGGGAAAGAGACATCTTCTCAACCCAAGCTAACCTGGCTCTGAAGAACTTTCCTGTACTTGATCTGTGCAGACAGAACTACAGTGAACACCAAGAGCTCCCAGGAGTCTTGGAATGAGGACGGAAGCTGGGCTGTGGCTCCAGAAACATCCTGTCTGAAACCTGCACCCCCTGGCTCTCCTGGGAGACCCCAGGTCATGGCCCAAACGTGGCATCCTCAATCCCTGTCTCTGTGCTGGGAGAAGCTGCTGAGACTGCAGCCCGCAGTCTGTGCTGGGTCCACCTGTGAAGGGTGCATGTCATCCTCCTCTCCCAAGAGGTGGGACCTGGAGAGGGCTGTCGCTGACAAGGTCCACAACACAACACTACAGGGAAAATGGGGTAAGCCCAGGGCCTGCTCCCCACAGGCTCCCTATCTCCTGGGCAGAGCCATGTCCTGTCCAACTATGTCCTGACTCAGCTTTCACCTCCACTTACGAGGATGGTAGAAGGAGGCAGGAAGGGCCTGGTCAACACACCTGCTGTCCTCACCTGAGACCTGAACCCACCGCGGCCTCACACTCACCAGGGCCAGGGTAAGACTCCACCCACTACTCTTACTTCTATCGCGCAACTCAATGCCCCCTCTTCCCAGGCGAGACTGTGCCCTCGAGGAAGGCTCAAAGCACACACTGGCACTACTACCTCCTGGCCCTGGGCTCCTGTGGGAATGTCCTGTTTCTCCTCCCAGGAGCAGGTCTGCTAAGCCTCTGTCCACGCACCTGGCAGCGTCTGTGGACTGAGAAGAGCTGCCGGGGCAGTGGGTGGGAGGGACCAGGTCCTAGACACACACCAAGACAAGGCACATGGCTTCAAGCCCGCTGTTCTCCCGATCTTCCCAGCCAGGGCAGCCTGAGCCAGCGGCTAGCCTAGGCTGGGCAATCTTGGCAGGGCAGGGGATAGAGGGTTGGCCCGAGGGAGCTCTCTCCTTCCTTTCCCCCCGCAGAGGCCTCTGGCACCTAAACAGTGGTGACTACCTGGCCCACACAGAGGTGATTTCACCCATTTACAGTCTATTGTGACATTTCCCTTGTGAGAAGAAGGCAGCCCAGGCAGCCCTTGCCTGCAAGACCTCAGCGGTGGCTGCAGTACTAGGGGCTGGGCTGGGCAGCTTCTGGGCTGCCCCTCGCCTGCCCTGCGTGGTGGCAATGACCCCCTTTTGCACACTGGGCCCATTGTGCAGCCTTAGGCTCTCGGAGATGTCCTGGGGCTGCACTGAGCCCCGCAAACCCCACCCCCACCCCCAGGACTTGGGGAAGGGCCAGAGTAGCACAGCAAGCTCACAGGCTCTGGCTTCTCTCACTTTCAATGCCTCTGAGGGCCAAGCCCAAGGGCTGTCCGGCCATGTGTCCCCGTGTTTGCCACTTGTCCCCTGAGTCTGGCTTCTTCCTTCCTTGAGCAAACTTGCATCCACCCACTGTAAGAAGCCACCACGCCTGTGAGCATCACAGCCCCCAGGGAGAACTGTTGTAACAGCAGTAATAATGACAAGGAGCAGGAGGACCAGCTCGTGCCAAGCACAGGCAGCTCGCCTCCCAGCAACAGCCCCAGGCAGCCAGGCCCTCCGTTTATTTGGTGAGGAAACTGAGGCACAGAAGGGTTAGGTACTTTGCCTACACAGCTAATTATGCGCCAAGTCAGGTGTGACTCAACCTGTGTCCCTCGCCACTCCGCTTGCAACTGCCCAGGCACCTAGTGTGGTGACAAGAGGCTCCCGGGGCAGGGGGATGGGGACCGTGCCTTCCCCTAGCTCTGCCCCGGCAGCCAGACACGCAGATGCTGGCTCCCAAGCCAGGCGTGTCTGTCTCCGGGGCTGTGTAACCCCATCCCCAGCTGCCCTGACACCTGAGCTGCCACCTGCTCCGGCAGATTCCTGGCAAAGAGGGTGGAGCTGAAGTGACCCATGCAGACAGGCCAGGGAGGCTGTAGATGCAAAGATGCAGGGCTTCTCCTGACATCCTGGAGACCCCAAGGGAGGTGCTGAGAGAGGGGCTTCTCTCCCTGCCCCTCCTCCAAAAAGCAGACAACATACCCTGGGAGAAGAGCCGCCCTCTCCTCTGCCAAGGAAAGACACAATGAGGTCCACCACCCCAGGCTTCCAGAGGCCTCAGGTATAGGACTCCAGAGCCCCCAAGCGCTTCTCACTGCCAACACCCTCCGGCAGCCACCCTGTTTAATTCTGCACCTCCCTGGATGCATGTTTCTCTGAGGAAACCTCACCCTCTGACAACAGTGTGTTTCCTTATTTGTCACCGTCTCTCCCCACCTGGCCATCAGCACTCTGCCTGTGGGCACTGCGGGACCGCCCCATCCTGCAGTGCCTGGCACATGGACAACTCTGAGAAGCAGGAGGGAGGCCTGGGGACACAGTGTGATGGGACACAACTGGGCATAGGGCTCGGTCTGCTGCATGTCAGGCCTCCGTGCCGCCTGCTGCCCGCACTGGGGGCCGGGGACAGGATCCGTGGCAGCCAGGCCCTCCCGGGCGCGGCACAGACTGGCTCTGGGAACACAGCCCTGTTGTGTGTGGGCGGGCAGATGCGTGCACTGGGCTCAGGCACCACACAAGGAGGCACAGTGCTTGCACAGTGGGAGTCTGTGGCCGCTCCGTGGGCCTCGCCACTCTGACCAGGCACAGCGGCCAAGCCCCATCCCAGGAGAGGCCCAGGCAGGCCTGGTGCCGTCCTGCCCGCTCCCCTGCCTGCCCTGCAGGCCCTCCCTGGGGCCGCTGTAGGCCGCAGGTGTGGGATTGCTCTGGGCACCCTGGACACAGCTCTGCTCTAGGGTCTACAGCTCGAGGCAGGCCCAATCGTCAGTGCTGTTCAACTCTGGGTCCTGAAATTCTCAGCAGGCCATCCTCACACCAGCCCAGTGCTGGGGGTGCGGTTCTCCCCATTTTGAAGTTGGGAAAACTGCTGGGTGCTTGGGTAGCTGGAAGGAGCCCCCAGGCCCACTGCTGGGTTCTCTCTGGCTTGCGCCTGTGCTCATAAAGTCCCTCGGCCAGAGCAGCTCCGCAGCTCTGACAGAGGCCAACTTAACCCCTCGAGGCTGGCCAGTCAACTGCTTTGGAGAGACACCTTTGGGGAAGTGCAGCCTGTGGGTGGGAGAGACTGATCATGGTCCTTGAGTCTGGGTGGAAAAGCAGCAGAAAAAGGAGGGTCGTAAGGACAGATGTAGGGGTCTGTCTGATTCTCAATATCCCCAGCCCCTGTTTGATTCTCAGGAAGGGCCCTCAAAGCCTGGAAGAGCAGTGTCACCCAGTTTTGAGTAGACAGGGGGACAGGGTAGATACGTGGGGACCCCAGTAATAGCATGTGGCACAAAAGCACAAGAAGGGAGACGTGGTTCTCCCCATTTCTGAACAGAGCAGGGAGGGGTATCTCTGGCCAGACCAGGGGACATCCCTGGAGGAAGCAGAACAGGAGGGCTCCCCAGCAGCTATGAGACACCCTGGGAACAGCGGTAGGCTGGGGGAAGGGACCTAGAGGGTCTGCAAAGACAGCAGACGGGGAGCAGAGTAAGGTCAGACCACAGACCCTGCAGCTCTTCTTGTTAGAAAAAACCCAGAGTCTCCACCCACGCCCTGGGAGCCACTTGCTCACTCTGAGTGTGATCTCTCCAGCCCGACAAAGCCCAGCAGTGCCCAGAAGCCTGAGGGATAGACAAGGCTCTGCACACTTTGGAGACACGCTCAGAATCACTGGTGTCACCAGGCTTTGTAAACCACATGAGGCCAGCAACGGGCCTCAAACCACAAAATAACTTGTGCTGGGCTCAGCGATGTGGGCACTGCCAGGCATTTTACCAATGTTCACCTATTCTGTGCTCAGAAGGAACCAGAAGTAGGCAGGTGAGGACATCAAGGTCCAATGAAATTAATCACCTGTCCAAGGTCACAAATAATAAAAAATGTGGCCGGGCACAGTGGCTCACACCTGTAATCCCAACACTTTGGGAGGCAGAGGCAAGAGGATTGCCTGAGCCCAGGGATTCGAAACCAACCTTGGAACTTGGCGGGACCTCATCTCTACAAAAAAAAAAAAAAAAAATTAGCCGGGCGTGGCAACGTGCACCTGTGGTTCCAGCGACTTGGAAGGCTGAGGCAGAAGGATCGTCTGAGTCCAGCAGGTGGAGGCTGGAGTGGCCATGCTGGGGTGGCCGAGAGTGTGCCACTGCACTCCAACCCGATTGACAGGGTGAGACACCAACTCAAAAAAAAGTATGACCAATGGCTTGCTCCACTCAGGCGCTATCCTCAGCCCCATATATATGCCAACTAAATCCTCACACAATCTTCCACAGTTAAGACTGAAGAGGAAACGGAGGCACAGGGGGCTGGCTGAGTAGCCACCCAAGGGCTGTCAGCTACTAAGCGCAGGCACGACCTGACTGCAGGCCACCTGACTCTGGAGATGGACCTCTTGGGGCCACTGGGTGTCCCCTGGGCTTATGTGGCCTCCATGATTCCGGGAGGGCCGGGTGTGGGAGAAGTGCGTCAACACAGACATCCCTCTTTCCCCACCACAGGAACCCTGCTTCCTAAGGACCTGCAATGCTCATGGAGGGCCTGGCTGGCCTCCAAATCAGGGGTAGCTTCTGGATTGGGGACCTGTTCATTTAAAAGTCTCAAGGCAGGCGGAGTCAAGGAGCCTGGCATCTGCCTCCGGGCAACAACCGTTAGCTCAGTCCTGTGACCAGGTAGGGTCTCAGAGAAAGCCTTTCAGACCCCAGGCAGAGGGACCTGAGCCCTCAGGATACACGGGCCCCTGCATCCAGGAACAAACCCGTCCTTGTGCGTCTAATAAAAACCCAACAAGGTGTCGCAGAGGCCTGGAGTC